TATGAATATAGGAACAACTTGGTTCTCACATGTTCCTGACAGCATGGCAATAAGTTTTCAGAAAACACCTAACTCTCTTGGCTGTCTGCCGATATGTTTGGAAAGAGTCCGATACAGCCTTTGCCCTGAGAATCCTCACAGCCTGCGTGTGAGACACAACTCAGACAGGTCGTAGGGCACAAGCAGTAGCTCAGATGTTTCTGTGGTAAACCACCATGTTCTTCTAAGAGCTGCTGCTCTTTGCCACTCTGTTAATGTTCCTATCTGTTTACTTGTTCCCAGGTGTGAAATCAAACGCTGGGAGAGCTGAGCTGGGCTGCAGCGTGACTCAGAGCCCATTGCTATATTCCTTTGAAGGAAGGATCTGGCAAGCAGCACTACATGGGATCATACCTTAAATTATGCACATGTAAACATACTTCAGTCCTGAGGAGTAGTTTATCTGAGATGACTACTTGCTTGTTCCCAGGAGAAAAGAAAAAGAAAGCATGCAGGTAGTAGGAGAAAGTGTTATTGCACGTTAAGTCAGCCTTCCCCTTCATCTGCTTTCCATACCATCTGGATTCTGTGTGGTCAGGCAAATCTGCACCCCATTCTGGTCTCAGCACTACAGTAAGTTGGGACCACCTCCACTGAAGTCACCGGAGAATCATTAGCACATAACCATTCAGACTTCTGGGACATCAAGTCCCATTTAATTAATTCAAATTTATATACTTAGGATAAGGTTCTTTGGAGAGTGCTATATTAAGAATAACTATTGTGTATGCTACAGTATAACATTGGTTTACCTAGATATAAAACCCTGCTTCTTATACCTATACTTCAGGGCTGTTCTGCCATGACTGTCCTTCTACACTGAGGAAGTTGAGTTGGAGTAACTTCTGTTACTGTGTGATGCAACCTTTTTGCAACTCCTCTGCAGCAATAACACATATTGCAGTAGAAATCTAAAGAAACAGAAATAGATTCTGGCTTCCTAGAATTTGTATTTGAACTCTGAGCATGCATACTGTGACAAAAGCTATCAAATTATTTTAATGCTAGGTATGGGGGAACTAATATCATGTGAATGTAACTTTTATCTGGATATTGAATTGCATTTATTTTGCCTGATTACATAACGAGCTACAGAATTTCGTATAGCTAGTAAATAAACAATGTATATGAAATCTTGCATGGTCTGGGAGGGGGGCCTCTGGATCCATCCCTTCCCTGTTACACAGAAGGAAGAGTTCAGGGAATATGAAACTAGTCATTGTGTTGGAGGAAGTGGTCTTAGGAAAATACAGAGTCTTGAACACATCCATGCCTCTACTGAGTTTCTGGCTGAGCCGCTGGTTTTCTGTGCAATCTTGGACAAATCATTTAGTTTGTATGTATAGTATAAAATGTAAGATCCTGCAGAAATACCCACAGCGATTTTGACTGAACTTTGAGAAATTTTTTTTTTCTCATCTTACTGAAATTTTCAGGCCTTAAAAAGCTGGGACAGATCTCATAGGTCATGTCTTACTGGGATAATAAATTGTACATTCATCAGATTGCGTAGAAGACACCAAACCACTGAAACTCTTCGAGCAAGATATTTTGGTTGATTGGTTGGTTGGTTTGGTGTTGGAAACAATAAAGCAAATATCTTAATAGGAATAGGGAATTTTAGAAAATAAAACCTCTTCTTATTTCTGATCCTGTTTTCCTTAGATAAAATGGAATTCCTTAGACAATTGTACTTTGGAATTAAGTGGCTGTAGATCTGGAAACAAGATTTTCCCTGTATTCGTTGTAGCCTTTCTGCCTGTGTATGCATGGGACCATGAGTGTGCCAGGGAAGAGTATAAACTAAACCTGGCCTGGCTGTTTCAATGTCCTTGTCAAAACGACTTTACTACGTGTTTGGGGGAACAGCAATCTGACCTTGGGGATCCCTGTATCACAGGATTGGGAGTGTCTGTGCTTCTGGTTAGGGACCTTGGTGGTTAGCTCCGGCTCTGGTGGCACCAAGCGCAGCCCCAAAGCTTGCTGAGTTTCAGTGTAGCTGACAGAACTGCAGCTATATCAGCAGTCACTCTGTGTTGCAGAGTTTTAATTGCATCTCAGCACAATTCATTAGTCCCTTTCTCTGCCTCCCCTTGGGTTAGAAAGGCTGCAAACTGGGAGTGACAAAATGTCTCCAGGGCCTCCCCCAGGCTACTGCCATCTTTTCCTCACCTCTTCACGAGACCCTACTTGATCGGGCACAGAAGATGTCTCAGACATACTACTCCCACAACACAGATGTGGCAGTATGTGGTCACCGTATGAGTGAGGGGACTTGGTTCTCTCTAGTAAGGAAGCCTACAGTGCAGTGTGCTGGAAGGAGCTGCTCTGGCTGCTGCACGGCTCTGCCACATCTCCCCACTGTGGCTCCTGACCATCATGTGCTGCCCGTGACCCATCAGTTTGGGACCTGGAGTCAGGGATGAATCTGGCTTTGAGCTGAGAACTAAGCTGGAGACAAATGAGCAAATGCTGAAGATGCCTGATAATTCTGTATACTTCTTCTTGAAAGTCCTTATGGCTCTTAGCCCTCAGGAAGAGGGGGACAGAAGGGGAAGGAGGAGCCACCTAAAGCCGGTGGGAAGGAGACATGAAAGAGCAACTGAGAGAACCTGCTCTTCTGTGAAGCCTTTTCTCATCTGAAAACCGTCAACCATACATTTACAATCTGACTTTTCCATGCTTGCATGAGAAGAAGTCTATTAAATACTCTGCAGAAAGTGAATGAGGCATTTGTAAGAACAACAGCATTTTAAAATATGAATTAAAAATTTAGGAAGCCTTTGTACACCCACCTTTGCTATCCCCCTTTTAGTTGCTCTGAGGCCCTTTCATAAAGTTCTCTTTTTACTTTAAAAAAAAGCATGTATTGTTACCATGTTTGTGCTCTGGTATTTTTACTTCGCCTCAGAGGGAATAGCTGGTTTTATGCTAACCCATCAGCTCAGTGTCCGATCGTACAGCCCTCTTCCTGACTGAAGCTCTCTGATCTTACATGAGCAAATATCTTGCAATTGCATTTCACAATAATTGCAAAGACAGTGTAATAAACCACAGCAGAAGTAGTTCTGTTGATGGTGGAGAATTATGAGGAATGCTATATGAAAGCAAGAAAGCAAGCTATAAGAAGTTGATTTTCAGAGGCAGAAAAATAAAAAACAGAGGGCAAAGGTGGGCTGAACAGTTCAGAGGTGGAAGGGTGTTCTGATTTTGCTAAAAGCAACGGTAGCATTGATGCTTTGCCTTTTGCTTTGTATTCTTTGCTTTTTTTTCCTCTCTCTATATTGGACATACAGACATTTTAAAGCAAGATAAGACTTTCTCGTTCCTCTCTGTTATTGTAGGGGATATTTCTTCTTGGTTCAAATACAGAGATTTCTTTCCAGACACAAGATGAAAATCCTCCACCCCCAGTTCTGAGTAAGAATAGCTTCCTCAGGAGCTGGTCAGATGCCTGGCTAAATATTCCAGGCAGTTCTTTCAGAGTGAAATTGTAGTTGTGATACTGTGGTGGCAATTGCATGAGCACTGAAGGCGCTTGCACTCAGTATTCTTGCAGGTAGCTTTCCTTGTGGGTAAAAACCTCGTAGGTTGTTTTTTGGGGGATGTGCTATTGCTGTTTAGAAGATTACTTAGTTTCATGGGAAAAATGGTGCAAAGTGGTCTGAATAGGTGTTGGCTGGTATTTATGAAACAATAACAAATACTACAGCAAGGAACTCAGATCCAAATCCCTCTGAATTGCAGGAATATGCCAATCCTGTTTCTAATCTGTGCATTTTTGATCTGTCTCTAGCATATACCAAAGACGTTATTTAAGTAGAAGAGGTTTTCTTAAATAGTTACCACAATATTTTTTGGAGGAAGTTGTTGCTGAGAAAGTTTCTACATATAATGAGAGGTGCCTGTGTAGCCCATCCAGGCTTGCAAATTGGAAGAAATGTTTTACATGCGAGAACTACACAGTAGTACAGAAGGTAATCTGGAATAGTTCAGCCACCATCATTCACTGTTTTATAATTAGTTACCTTTGTGTGGACAAAAAACACAGAAAATTATTATCCTTCTAAACTGCCATTTCCCATTACTATTTGGCAGCCTTAATGTCATTATATTCTGTAACAAAATTCTCTGCAAACTCTGCTAAAGAAACACAATTGTCTTAGAAAAGTAGCTAAAGCATGTGAGGGTTAAACGTAACTTTTTTCCCATAAGTGTCATTCGCCCAACTTAGAATTCTTCCATAGATACTGAGCAGTGCAGAACTGAAAGTATTTTTAATTTCAGTACTTTGTATATTTACAGAGGGATTACAACAAACTTCTACACTTTATCTACATTTTAATAGGTCAGTGTGAACATATGAAGTGTATTAAGGTGGACTGCCTTACTTATTAAACTTACGTGAATTCGTCAAAAGCCCTGAGAAGCCGTCTGCAATAGGGGCTGGAAAGCCATGCGTGATTGAGGTGGTGCATCCAGCCAGTTTGTAAGATGATCCCTCTGTACCGAGCCATCAGCCATCCTCAGCACAGGGGCGCACTCATACACGCATTCCTGTCAAGTCATCTTGTGAAAGGCTGCTTGCTTCCAGCTTGGCTTGAAAGTGCAACCTTAATAAAACTCACTGAAGTCTGAGAGAAAATAGCAGTTCTGCAGCAGATAGTGTAGGGGAAAGAGACTGGGATATGCATATGCAGCTGACTAAAGCAGACTACATGCTGGACTGTAACAGAGAGGAAACAATAAATCTTAACTACTATGCAATAAATATTCCCAATTTTTACTAAGGAAGCTATCCTCACAGTGAGATTAAAAAAATAACAGTTTATCCAAACTTGATTACTAAAGTGCGCTTTCCCAGTCCTTTTTTCCAAAGACCTTAAGGGAAATTAAGAACAAATTTAAAGAAAGAGGAAGAAAAAGTTTTTCTTAAAGTAGGAAAGGAAAGTAAAAATAACATGTCAGTTTTCCTTTCGTTTGCTTTCCTGGCAGCGATTCTTGCTCATATAGGCTGTAATAGCCAGCGTCGGGGTCCAGAAGCCAGTGGGAGAAGATTTAACCGGATTCAGCACGGGCAGTGCACCTATACTTTCATTCTGCCAGAACAGGACGGGAACTGTCGTGAAAGCACGACAGACCAGTACAACACAAATGCTCTTCAGAGAGATGCTCCTCACGTGGAACAGGATTTCTCTTCCCAGAAACTGCAACATCTGGAACATGTGATGGAAAATTACACTCAGTGGCTGCAAAAAGTAAGTGTTTCTTTTTTTTATTTCTCACTAAACAGATTTTTTTTGGTGATGCTTATGCTGTTCAAATTTTTATTAGTTTCTGTGTAGCAGCTGTGTAGAAGAGAAATGTTTCAGCCAGAGTGTTCCCTTCTCAGTGACATTGCTCTTGGGAGCAGAATTTTCTTCATGTTACTGAAAGGTGTAGCTTCTTAAAGCTTTACCTCAAAAGACCATCGATGTTTGTGAGCCAGGGAACACAAAAATCCTCGAGACACTCTAATGACAGAACTTACTAAGTATCCCTACAAACTACTTCTAGCTCACAGCTTCAGATCAGATGTCATGCAGGATACCTGCATCAAAAGCATCTGACAGCAAAAAGGAGCATTTAAAAATATCACCATTTAGAGGCACTGGGTTAAGAATATCACTGTTCCTGCATAAATAGATCCTGTAATACTATTCTAGCCAGTTAATTGCTGGAGAGAAAGAAGAACATATATAGGCATTCACACTCCTAAAACATTGCAGTAAAACTGTTAAACAGTGTAGATTACGCTGGACTTGAAACAGCCTGCTCTAATTTGTGTGTGTATATGTGCATTCTTTCATAGAAAGGGAAAAATGGGTTGGAAGGTGTTGCAGTAACTTAGAAGTAATTAATTTTAAGAATCTGTGCTATAGCTCCAAACTTCTAATTAATTTTTCAGGTTTTTATGTATGAGCTGAAGCTTGGGCCTGAAAAGACTTAAATATGTGAATAATCTGTGAATAATTTCACCCATATGAGCAGTCCCATTGACCTTAACAGGATTACTCACTTGTATAAAATTACATACTTTGTAGGATCTTGTCCATGCCTTGATATTGAAACTGCCTTGGGATAGCTGACAAGTAAAAATAAATAAACATTCTTTGTATATAGTTATCTATAATATTCCCACTCTCACACTGGCATTTTGACCTGGCAAAGTTAGAAAACTGAGCAACTGAGTGATGCAACTACTCATGTAAGATGGCACAAGAAAACTGCTGCAATTACCCATTTGAAAGATACATGATTTAACTCTAACACACGTTCATATTAAGAATGAACATCAATGAAAAGCTAGTGAAGACTCTACTAGCTGGGCTAAAACTTCCTATTACCATATTTATTGTTACCTATCTCGTTTATAAGTTTTGTTTCATCCAGACAATATAGAAGACAGAAATATGTTCAAAAACCTATACAACCGTCCCCATCCCCCTAACCGTATTAAGACCTTTAGAGAGGTTTTCCTAATTTCTTGGGAAACTAATTGCACTCTTTGCATATATGGCTCTAGCAAGAGCGAGAAGATTCTATCCAGTAAGCATGTGACTACAAAACAAATTATAACCAAGCACTTCTTTTTTAGACTACTTTCCTCATTTTTTAAATATCTTGGTCTGCTTTGGGGAATATAAGGTTGAAAATGAGGGGATGTCTTTTGTAGAGGAAATCACTTCTTAATAAATTATTTTACTGTACCTTGGGAGGCTGAGACAAGCACTGAAACCAGGAAAGTGGTTATCTATGTTTATGCACGCATGATTTTACTTGAGAAAATTGCCTGCTGAATCATGCTTTTAAGACTTCACTTATTCTGTGTTTGTCCACTAGAGACTGAACTAAGATCACTGTTTCACTGTGAACCGAACATGAAGAAATATGAGTCTCTGGAGTGTGAATATCTGTGTTAGGGTTAGTCCTCTCACACTTTGGAGGGAAGTGATTAAACAGGTAGGAAGCCCAATGAAAGGAGTTTGTATTTGAGGACAGTTTTCTTCTACAGTGATTGTACAACTGGCTCTGGGTGGAACCACCCCCCTCCTCCTTTCCTTCCCTGCCCCCAACCCTCTGCTCCCAGGGGTTTACATAAAACTGGGATTGTGCACGTATCCCCATGTGTCAGTTTTCCCTGGAAAGAAAGGACCCGTTTCTCTCTGTGATGGAGTACGGCTCACTCTGAACAAATGAGGCTGATGCAGTGCCATTATAGCATTTCTGAATACTGAATTTGCTTTGTTGCTGTTGCCGTTACAAACCAGCTCAGCCATAACTCACTCTTTCAAAACAAGCATCATGCTTAAGTGTAATTAATGCATTGTGTAGACATCTTACATCTCATTTTTGTACTCTGCATTATTTTTCACCCTAAACTTTTAGCATCAGCTATAACTAGTGCTACAATAAACAACATTTTAAAATGCACGTGCTGTGAAAAAAGTAAAGAATAATTAATGGTTATAATTCTATGACTGGAAGTGAATAGTTATAATAAGAAATAATGTTTAAGAATTTGAGATTTATTCTGACTTATGTAAAGGAGGTATATTTATTACTTTCGGTAATATATGTAACTCCTGAAAATTGTACATAGGCAATGTTTGGCAGGATGAATTATTTTCTCAGCACAAATATTAGCCTGCAATATTGAAAGAGTATTTATTAAGAAAGTTTGTAAGAATCACGATTTGCTTAACTCTGTAGTCTTTGAAGTAAAAAAAGTTTTTCCTTAATATCTAAACTAACAAATTTCTAGAAGCAAAACATGTATTCTTTTTTTAAACAAAAGGCAATTTTATAATGCTTAACACCAAAAGTTCTTCAATGACCTACAAGCTTGACTGGAGATAAAAATGCGCTTGCTTGGGGAGCCAATTACAGGTAATTAAGTCCCAGCGTTGTCCATTATCATTTGCACATCTATAGTCAGCATAACTGGGATTGGTTGGCAAACCAGGGACCCAGCAAAATGCTCTGCACAGAAACTACTCAGAAGAAGATGGCTTGCTAAACATTTTTAGAGGTTTTCCTAGAACTGTTTATTTTAATACCGGATAACTTTCCCCATTGTTTAAGCTTGGGTTTCATTTCTGCAATATGTTTATACTAACAGTTCAAAACAAACAGTTCATCACATTTTCTTTCGTGCAGTAACTGACTGGCACGCGTGATACTGTTTGGTATTTAATTGCAGTGTCTAAGTATTCCCAAAGAGGAGTTACATGAAATCTTATCATCACGTCTTACTTAGGAACTTTCTGTTAGTCAGCTTGCTGAACTTATGGCATCGATGGACTCAGTAAACTTTCAGGATAGCTACATAGATGAGTGTTGCATATACTTATCCCTCAGTCCAAACAGCAATAGTAATTGTGATTGTAGTGGATAGTGGATCATGTAAAACTCATAATAACTCTTTCTTTTTTTCTGATCATTACCTAAGCAGAAGACCATAAAAGTTTAAAATGAATGCTTAATAATAGTGTATTATAAGAAGCTGACACAGATGTACAAGTTTGAGATGAAAGTGAACCACAATAATTCTGGTCAGCTAATACCAAAATTTAGAATTTTTTCCTTTCCTCTGCAAATATTGATGGCACCACTACACTTAAATCAAATAAAGAAGCTTCATCTCATTTCCCTTTCCCTTCAAAGTACCTGTGCTGTCACCAGCTATAACAGTAGCAGTATAAAATGATGAGTTGGATTCAGTCATTAAAGAAACAAATTATGAGCAACTTCTCTGGAGTATCTAGCCATTTGATATTCTACTTTAATGTTAATTCTCATCATGGTTTTGATAAATTATTTGTCTATGGCATTCTCTGTGCTTGCATTTGACTTCCTTATTTTGCAGAAGTAACATTGCAAGTGCTCTCTTGGGTTTTAAATGCGTAAGGAAACTAAGTTTTGAGGAGGACCAGCCGCTCTATAGAAGAAACTGGGTTTTGGAAAGGCTGTTGTACACTCAGTGTGTGCTGTGGCTTCATTAAAAGTCTGCACCTCTCTGTCTTTACCAGCAGGGCCTAGCACTGCAGTAAAATAGTAATAATATGCTTATGTCTGTGGAGTGGCTAGGTTTTGCCTTGGATTTTATACGGTTTGCTGAAGATGAGATAATTCCTTACATGTCACTCTTGCTGTGAAGCTGTGTCAAAGTGTGACAGAGCCTGCCTCGAAGAGGACAGATCTAAAGAGCTGTCATAACGTCTTATAAGGCAAATTTATATTAGTATAAAGATGGAGATGGCCATAGTGTGTGTAAAATTTTGTCACATAAAGAAACCAATATCCCCGAGTTGAACTATGACAAGATATAGTAAAAAATTGATTTTATTTGTGGTTATGTCTCACTGGGTTTTTTGTAATGTAACATGTGACCTTAAAGTCCATGTAACATTTGGTTAAGTGCAACCAGGAGATGGATGATGAACTCCTGTTAATTTTCACAAATAAAAGCAGGTAAGAAGGTCATTAGATTTGGAATCTGCCGTTCTGCTTGTAAGAGCATTACTAACAAGGCTGTGTAAGAAGTGGCTTTCCAGTAAATTGTGTGTTTTCCAAAATGGACCAGGGATAAAAGGAAAAAGTGAGAAACCTTCATCCAAAACTGGCTACTAGTGTCCTGCTTGGCATCCAGCTTGAACCTGGATTTCTTGTCTAGACTCAGAGGCTGTTTATTATTCGAGGTGTTCCTTTTTGCTTTGGAGTCAATGAATTCTTAGACCAAAAGCAGAGCCTCATCTTAGTGAGATTTCAAGTGTCAATTTGCATAAACAAGCTGTAAAACAAATGGCGGGATTCTAATTAATGAGATTACTTATATAGTGTGTACTACTCAATGGATAAGGATACATAAAACCCAAATTTAAGGAGTAAAAATTTGTTCGTGGAAGCAAACTGGTTGTAAGAAAATTAATGTTTGATTGTAAAATCAAAATTATTTATTTACCTCCAAAAATTCTTTTGGCCAGTAATATGCCTGCACTTCAAATTCATAATTAATCAAATTGCTGAAGTCCTTGGGATATTCTGAGGCAGCCACAAGAAAGAGGCAGGACTTCAGATATGGAATGCCTGAAATTTTCATGCTATTGGGAGATAATCTATTTGGCAATGTTTTTTTTAAGAAGCAGAAGAATCAGAGAAGTGGACTGATGACCAGTCTCACATTTGCCACATTTGGTAGCAAATTACTTGAAAAAGT